AATATCTGCCGGCTCCAGATGAGAGGGTTATGGAGGGGACAGGGTCCAGGGCAGAGATCTAAAGAGTCTCTCCCCACCCACACGCAGCCGCCCCCAATGTGAAACAACTTCTGTTCCTGGCTGGGAATTTGTGTGTGTGTGTGGGGGGGAATCCAAGCTACACTTTCACTTTCATGCTGGGAGGCAGAGAGGCTGGTTGCAGGTGCCAAGAGGCCCGATTTGCAGCACACACCTCTGAGACAAAAGGGACCCAAATGCTGAATTAGTCCCCCCCTCCCCAAATACCTCAGCAGGTCAAGTCATTCCAATGCCAAAATCCTCCTTCTCTGTCTTGGAGTGGCAGCCTGCAATCCCTAGCTGTGTTCAGATGGAGGAGCAATGGGCGACGGAGTTTTCTCCATTCCCGAATGCAGAGCAGGATACAAACAGACATCCTCCCTCTTCTCAACCCCCCCCCCATCCCCAGATCCCAATGACGATCTACAGGGCTCGCTCTTGCCTGGGCCAGCGGGAAAACAAAAGGGACAGCAGCAGCAGTGGAGAAGCAAGCCATGCTTGCGGAAGGGGCAGCAGTGGCAGGCCTGGGCTAGATGGAAGTTGGGGGGGCAGGCCCCGAAATGCTTCAATGTAGCTACGGGCCTGTTCCCCAGCTGTATTCAAAGACAGAATTCGGACTAATTGTGACCCATCACTCATAATATAAGACACATCACTTTTATCTAGATATGTGAAGTTGCCAGGGGCCCCGAGGGGTAGACTGTCAGTGTAACTACAATTCTGCTTCTACTGTTACAGCGCTGTTTTACATTTCTGCTTAGCGTGCATAGGATCATGCCATCCATAGTATCATTCTGTTAGCCACTATTATAAGATATTTTGAAAGTTTACCACTGTAATGTATCCAGTCCAGACAAGTCCAGACAAGTCCTGAGACAAACGTCGAGCTTCACTCCAAGAGACAATGGACTATGCGGATCCTAGCCCGCTCTAATGAGGGGGCTAGGTTCCCGGCCGAGAGCCTATGGGACTCTCGGCCACTGTAAATAACCTATAGGGAAGTAAGGGTGTGTTTTGGGTGGCGATTTCTCGGGGAATATAAGCCGGCCTGCGAGCCGGCCAAAGTCGTCTTGTTCCGGATAGAATAAAGTACGCTTTGCTGAAATCACTCTCCGTTTGCATACTTTTCAACCACAATGCACTGTTATAAATTAGGCTTGTTTACTGCTTGCTATGCTAATGAGTGCACTGTGAGCTCTCTGCTCAAACTATTCATGTTCCCACACAAAGCCTTCTTTCTACAGGCTACTGTACATGTCTCCCTTCTCCATAGGAGTCATAGTGCTGGTAGGGTTCATCCTTTACAACTAACAAGCTCCTGAGAGGCACTTCAGAGGCAAGTGTAAAAATAAAGCAACAGGTAGATTTATGAGCATACTTACAGTTTTCGGCAGATATAATTAAGGTATACAATGGACTCAGTGCTTTCAAAACAAATATGTTCTATGAAATGTTACCGTATAGAACATTTTAAAGTATAATGGGTAACCAAAATGTGTAGGCTTTCTTCATTGTTAGATGTATTAGGCAACTATCTAATATGTAAATGTATCATCTAAGAAGAATAACTGGTCTTGTCCACTAGCACTTGGTCTTTAATAATAGGGATGTGCACAAAATTGGGGGGGGGGTGTTCAGATTTGAGTATATTGGACCAAAGAAGTTTGGGATTCCTGGAGAAACCCACATTCCAATACTGGTATGGTATTTGGACTCAGGTTTTGTTTTTGTTTTTTAAATAAATCCTGATTTCCCCCCCCCCCCGCTCCATTATACCCTATGGGACTATTAGAGTTAATGGGGAATCTATATGGGGGTATCCAGGCATCTGAGGGGGTTGTTTTTTGAGACAGAGGCACCAGAATTTCACTGTAATTTCTGGTGTCTCTCCTCAAAAGACCCCCCTCCCCAAGTTTCAAAAAGATTGGATAAGCAGGTCCAATTCTATGGGCCCCCAAAGAAGGTGCCCCATCTCCCATTGTTTCCGATGGTGGGGGAAACAGCAAAAAAACCCCTAGGACTGGTGTCAAACCAGAGAGTCTCTGCAGTAAAAACTGAAGGGGGGGGGATTTTTCCAAGCCCAGCAGAAACAGTGCATGTACAGAGTGCCCAGAAGAACCAGTGCCACGGTGGCAATGCCACTTCAACAGATTAAAGCAAAGGGGGTGCAAGTGCAGTACAGACAATGCATGTACTGATTACCCAGCAAAACCAGTGCCACTGTAGAAGAGGAAGAGAAGAAGAGATTGGATTTATACCCCGCCCTTCACTACCCTAAGGTGTCTCAGAGCGGCTTACAAACTCCTTTCCCTTCCCCTCCCCACAACAGACACCCTGTGAGGTGGGTGGGGCTGAGAGAGCTCTGACACAAACTGCTCTTTCAGGAACAGCTGTGCCAGAGCATGTGACTGACCAAGGTCACATCAGCAGGTGCAAGTGGAGGAGTGTGGAATCAAACCCGGTTCGCACAGATTAGAGTCCGCACACTTAACCACTACACCAAACTGGCTCTCTACCACTGTGGCAATGCCAGCTCAGCATATCCAAGCAAGGGTGAGTTAGCAAGCCTAACACAGCCAGCACATGTGCAGAGTACCCAGCAGAACCAGTGCATGTACAAAATGCCCAAAGAAAGTGCCCCCATCCTTCATTGTTTTCAATGGAGGAAAAAAAGAAAGCATTTAAGGGAAGGCACTGGGTTTCGCTGGGCACTAGTACATTGCACTGGTATTGCTTGACACTCTGTACATGCACTGGCTTTGCTGGGCTTGGATTTTGTAAGAGATTAATGGCTTCAGCCCTAGAGGAGCTGTGGGAAGTCCCTACAGCATCCAGCTACAAGGGTCATCACCAGCCATGTGTCTCTTGTTTATTTCTTATCCCCAGTGCTCCCTCACCCAATCCCTTTACAGTGCCCAGTCCCGTCTCTGCTTCCCCAGACTGAAGCTTGCAGCCTTGGGCGGGTCCTTCCCCCCTCAAGTCCAACGTGAGTCCTGGGAAGCCTGCAGGGAGGCTCTTCTGGAGCTCTGACACTCCTGACGGCTTGCCTTCCCTGTCAGCTGTTCTGAGTGGGCCACACCACTCCTGGCTGCTTTGCTGTCTGTCCTCTAACACTGGAGAGAGGACCTTCCCCAGCGTCTCTGCCAGGGCTATTTCTGGGCAGGCATGCACAGGAACGGAGTTCCGGCTGGCGTCAG